GAAAATAATTTTACTTGGCAGATATAAAGACACAGAAACCCTGCCTTTGGGGAACATAAAATCAGAGACAGTCAGAAACACTAGCACAAGGTCATAGAGAGCAGACTCAGGAAGAGAGCCAAGTCAATATCTACATAATAAACATCTTCAGGAGGAAGCACAATACTGTGGGAATCCCATTCATCTGAAAAACAAAAGTCGTCTGTTCTATTGCTAACACATCCTCCCAGTTGCTTTCTGGTCTTGGGATCTTCACAGTACTGAGGCTTAATTTCTTCTTCTGTCAAATGAGACTACTAGGCTAGATCTTTAAGGTATCCTACAGCTATAACACTTATGACCCCAGCTTTCTGGAGATCCTCGAGTAACAGACAAGGACAAAAAATGCAATATACCTTCCCTAGTTTGGGGGAAGGGAAATCACCTTTATCCTATTAAACCCTTCCTGAAATCAATGGAGTACACCAAGCAGTATGAGAGTAATATTCTCAAAACTGTCTGTCCCTTCTCAACTCTAAATTATAATTACAAAACTAACATTTGTGTAACATTTAACCATTGCAATGATATTTTCTCATTCATTTTGAACAAACCTTGAAATTTAGATTAGCAGATATCAGAATGAATCCCTTATAAAGAAGAGGAAAGTGATTCAGACATGTTAAAGTCCTGGAGCTAATACACAGCGGAGCTGGGACTTGAGCCTGTAACAAAATTGTAACAGGAATCCTTTTCTTTAAATACCTTCCTATGAAAGGAGGGTGACAGAATACTGTTTTCCCTTTCTCACCAACACACACACACAAACATTTTACTCCTATGCCAATCAGAAGATCTATAGTCTCGTGCTAGTTTCCCAGCAGTGTGAACTTGAGTGGAGCCCACAAACACTTTGATTCTCAAATTACTCTTCTTTATAGTGAAGATGTTAAAAGTAATACCTACTTCATGAGATCATGATGACCAAATGAAAGACTATATATAACAGTATTTTCACCCTTTCTGCACTATGAAAAATGTGTGATAAATGATAATTCACATTATATTTCTATACAATGAATCTAAATTTTGGTTAATAAATTAATACCAAAATTGTGTCCTATTTTTCTTCCTGGAAATATTAAAAGCAATACTGATGTACTGATACTTTGGCTGATGATTCCTAAAGAAGCTGATTGAATTGAGTTGTTTGTTTTTGAGTTTGTGACCCCAATGTGAAGGTTTTGGTAAAGAAAGAAAAGGAAGAAAAAGGGAGGAAAGGTGTGTCTCTCTTTTCACAGCCCCGTGTAAATTTAGGTATTTCCTTTGTAAAAGAGATGTATCTCTATGACAGCAAAACAGCAGGTACTTGTTCAATTCTGAAGGGCCAATCAACATTAAGGAAAATATTAATCAGCTCTATCCCAATGTTTACATAAATAGTGCCACTGAAGCTCAGCCTACATTTTTATCAAAATGTTTATAGATAATATTCAAATACTATTTCTTCTTCAAAGATTTCCATGGAATTGTTTGTTTTTTCTTCAACATTTTCAGACACTTTTTGCTTTTTCCTTTATGGTGTTTATGATAGTCGGTCTTGTAATATGGCTAACTATTTGATTCTCTCTCCCCTGAGAAAGGAAAAAATATTTTATTCACATTTATAACCGCAGTGCTTAAAACATAATCAAAATGATAAACTCATAAAATATGAAAATTATGAAACAATCTACTCCAACCTTTAAGAGCTCAATAAAGAGTTGAGATTGATTTCTAAATATGTAAATTAAAACATATATAAAATAGGCATCATTGATAATTATAGAGTGTCCATAATGAGAAACCTCTACATCGTTATTTGTATGTGATTAAGTTTAACTACAGTTTTATATTCTATGTTTATCCTATAACCCACCCCCAAAATAGAATATTTAGGATACCTCCTTTGCTTTCTACCAGGTATGGATAACTGTCTGGGTGACTCTGACTACAGAACAACCAGATACCAAAGAACTTGCATGGAACTTCAAGATCAGTAACACTTGCTTCCCTTCCAGTGCAGAACAGGACTCCATGTAAAACCAAGTTACTTTTAATCAAGCTTGGAGAATTCAGAAAAATGTTAATCTCTCTTAAATCCACTCCCCACCCTCGAGAAAGTACAGAAAGGCAGCTTCAACAACTTGCCATGAGTTAAATGCTCATTATATCATCGATGAAAATATTTCTGATTTTAATCCCTGTATAACCACAATAAAGTGATTAGAGGGAAATATTTATTGAGCACTCACTATGTACTGAATTAGTCTCTTCTGTAAACATGATATCAATTAATTTTCACTGTAACCTGGAAGGTAGGAATTACTTTTCTCACCATACAAATGAGAAAATGGGGCTTAGAGAATTTAAGATCTTACCAAAAGAAAATGCCAGAGTCAGGATTAAAGCTTATATCTAAGTTCAAAACTCCTACATTTTATTCCTATATTACTCAATTTTACATGTGTTTGTAAGGGTAAAATTCAAGATTATATATGTAGAAATTTATTAGTAGTCCTGAGAATTGAGGATCCTCGAATTAGAAAGATAACAGTAATTATTTATTAATAAATATACCTTTCAGGCAACAAAAATCCTGTGTTAAGTACTGAACAAAGAACCAGGGGGATAAGATGGAGAAAGAGAAGATTTGTCCCTTTCACAAGGTTTGGGTTGTGGGGATGAGGAGGCATAACTATAGAATCAGAAAATATAAGGGACAGGGCAGCACTTTCCAGAAGGCAGGAGATGTAGCTGTGGTTACCTGAACTCTTACACATCTGTATAAAAGTCATAGAAATTAAACAGTGCTCAGACTCATGATATTTTTCCAAGAATGCTTCAATTCAACATTTCTATAACAGATGCCAATAACTCAGAAATAAATACAAAATAATTTTTCCAAGGCTATACAAAAGAAATTGTCTCCTCAGTTTTCTCACAATTGCAAATGCATATCTATTACTTCAATCACATCATTTTATAACAATCTATTCTTTTGAATATGTCTCACCTTTGAAATGTGAGCAACTTGAGGCCTTGGACCAAATCTTTTATATGGGTATTTTTAACACATACCTAGCGCCTGACACATGGTTGTATTCATTCTGATTAATAATTGTTGAATAGTGCCTAATATTCTAGATTTAGTGGTTCTCGTCTAAGGTAGAGTATGATGACATTAATTTTTGTTACTAATATCAGCTAAGATATAATTTTGAAAGGTATACTTTTTAAAATGGGATAAACTCAAGGTCACTTTACAATTTCCCTCCCATTTATTTGCATTCTGGTATGTTCTAGACAGTTGCAAACATACTAGGAATTGAGAATAAATCTATGTACATAGAATTCCAGTGACCAGATGCTCTTGTCAGTGCTATTTTTCTATCATAAACTGAGATTTTCCTTTTGCTGTGAAAGGGTAAAACTTAGTTCCATGTAGTACGGAAATATTTAGAAATTTATGATCTTGTACAATCTTCATGGCCAGGATCAGAGAACACTGAGGATTCTCTTACTCTGTGAGTTCTGGGAAGAACATGGTGATGTGAATGTGGTATGTAACAATATACCAAGTTAGCTTTTCTAATTTATATGACAATTTTTACTGAGAAACTATTAGGCAATTAAAATGGTTCTAGATGCTGAGGAGAATTTAGATTAAAATGCTTACGATTCTCTTCTTACCCTCAAGAGTATAAAATTTAATGGAAAAGAAAAAAACAACACACTCTTTCAAAATTAAATAAAAAACAAATCAAATTGGCAATCAATGTCTTATGTGAATTCTGAGGAAGAAACAACTCCTTTATGAGGACATTCCAAGGAAGCTTCCAAAAAAAAATTAGACTTGGTTGAGGCTTCAGAATAATGGTAAAATGTTTGTAAAGAAAAAATGGTTAACAAATTAACATGAGCAATGAATAGAGGCAAGGAAGAATACAACATATTGCACAATAGTGATGCATCCCATAATGTCTATGAGTAAACACTGAAACATTGTTTAGTTTCCTAAAGGAGACCTTAAAAACCATAAAGACTTTGCACTTTGTGCTATAGCCATGAGTAAAATTTTTGAAGAGGTGAGCAATAGGATACAATTTATATTTCAGAAGATCAGTCTGACATCAGGGGAAAGATGGACTAAAGAGATGTGAGAATGGTGATGGGAAAAATAACCATAAGGTGATTTTTGTAGGCATTAACGAAAGGTGATGAAAATGGGCAAGAGTCTTGAAGAAAGATTGTGGTTCTGTCTGCAGGAAGAAGGAATCTGAGATAGGCATTGGAGGATGTGTAGAATTATTCCGTCTTGGAGAACTTTTTCCAGATTTGGGAACAGAATACATATACAGAAGCAAGAGTCAGCTTAATGAGCATTTAAGAAGGTGGAGTTGATGATCCATGTCAGGAAGTAAGGCAAAAAGAGTTAGATAGAATGTAGGTCTAGAATATGGAGAGATTAAACTAAGAGTAGACATTTAGGTATAAGTAGAGGGATAATGAAAAACTATTGAAGATTATATATAAAATCATAAATAAGGTAATGTATAAATGTAGTGCATTCAGATGATGTATTTTGCAGCTGCAGGAAAGTGGGAGAATATGAAGGTAACAAAATTGAATGGGCTAGCTTTGCAGAGTAAACTTAGAGTGAGAGGCTGAGAATTTTAATAGCAGCCTCAGCCTGGGAATGGAGATGAAGGGATAGTTAATCTGGGAAATGTCAAGAAAGTTTTCCTATGGTATTAAAAATACTGGGGAGACTCAAAGTTGGATGCACACTTTGAATAATTTTAGATACTTCTTGATGTCTTACAAAAACTGGAAAGAGGAGGAATGAGTTAGAACTCAAAACCTGAGAACACATGATATGATGATCAATATAGTGATCATTCTAATGATTCTTCTAGTTTTCAGGGGTTTTTCTTGGCACTGTCTTCTCTCTCAGATTGTCTCCTGATGATCTGCCTTCCATGGAGTGGGTCAATGAGACCTTGGTGAGAGAGTTTGTCTTCCTCGGCTTCTCATCTCTGGCTGGGCTGCATCGGCTGCTCTTCGTTGTCTTCCTGCTCATCTACATGTTCACCCTGGGCACCAATGCCATCATCATTTCCACCATTGTCCTGGACAGAGCCCTCCACACCCCTATGTACTTCTTCCTTGCTAGACTCTCCTGCTCTGAGACTTGCTACACCTTCGTCATTGTACCCAAGATGCTGGTTGACCTGCTAGCACAGAAAAAGACCATCTCCTTCTTGGGCTGTTCTATCCAGATGTTTTCCTTCCTCTTCCTAGGTTGCTCGCACTCCTTCCTGCTGGCAGCCATGGGTTATGATCGCTATGTGGCCATCTGTAACCCTCTGCGGGACACAGTGCTCATGGGACATGGGATGTGTGTGGGACTAGTGGCTGTTGCCTGTCTCTGTGGTTTCACTATTGCAGAGATCATCACATCCTTGGTATTTCACCTGCCCTTTCACTCCTCCAACCAACTACACCACTTCTTCTGTGACATTTCTCCTGTTCTCACGGTAGTCAGTTTGTCATTATCATGCTCTGTGCATTGGTCCTGGTTATCCCCCTGTTATTGATTTTGGTATCCTATATTCACATCATCTCTGGTATACTCCAGTTTCCTTCCACATTAGGCAGGTACAAAGCTTTTTCCACCTGTGCTTCTCACCTCATTATTGTCATTGTCCATTATGGCTGTGCCTCCTTTATCTACTTAAGGCCTAAGTCCAACTACTCCTCAAGCCAGGATGCTCTCATATCAGTATCCTACACTATCCTAACTCCATTGTTCAATCCTATGATTTACAGCTTGAGAAATAAAGAGTTCAAATCAGCTCTTCAAAGAGTTGTGGGAAGAACAATTTCTCTGCCACAACATTAATCTAGATTCTGCTCTTTTCAAATAATAAAACATAAAGTATGTGGGAAAAAATTCCCTGAGCAAAAATGATCAAGCAATTGAGAACAATGTTCAAGAACAGAGATCATTTCTCATTTATTTCCAAATATAAAAATAAAAAATAATAGCTCCTTGCCATGATCACATAAATTATTGCCTATTGAAGTTTTTTCAATTGATGGAAGAATGATGGATGGCTAACATTAGGATGTAGGAATACAATTACATGTTCAGAATTCTAGGCTCTGGCAAATACCACTACCCAATCTCAGCCAGAATGGAAACCAATCCTACAAAATATTGTACAACCCTAACTCTCCTGTCTCTATATCCCTCCCTTTTCTGGATGTTTCCTGAGTCTCAGTCTTTCAGTATAGTCAGATCACAGTTTTTAAATGAGATAACATTTGTAAAGTTATAATTTTTGGTGCATAAGTTATATCTAATTAATGTTCAAATAAGAAAATTATGCAAAAATTTTCCACCTCTATGTTTCTATTACTGGCAGCTGGGTTTTTTTCTGATTTTTTATACATTGGTACAAATCTAGTTTGGTCAGCATTCCTTAAAGATATTCACAGGGGCATAGGTTAAAAAGAAGACCTAAAATCATGCAGAGTTGTCAAGAAAGGCAGGTTAAGCTTAAACGCATTTTATTAAATAGTAACCAAATAGAAAAATCTGTGTAAAGAGCAAACAGTTTCTGTTTCACGAATCTCCGGAGTTGTCATGTGCATTTCAGGCCAGAATTCGAATTAGACATTTTACTTATCTCTCCTTCCTACAGAAGGGAGAGCAAACAAGGAGCTCCATGGAGAGAGCTTCTTCCTTGCTTTATATATTTTTTTCAAGATCAACTTGTTAATAAAGGTCTTCTGACTGAATCATTTCATTTCTTAGTCTTTTCTTCCACCAGTTTCCTCATCAATGACTTATAGATTTTCAGGGGTTGAAGGAAGAGGGAAGGAACTGGATGTTTTATTCACGGGCCCTCTTTTATTGTGGAATGCTGAACTTGTCTGCTAAGAATATAATTTCTTCCATTTCTCTGAAGCTTGAGACTTCCTGAGGGTGGGTCCTGAAGGTCACAGAGACCAAAACAAATTTAATTTCTTTGGCCACCAACTTCTCTTTTTCCTTGGACCCATTGTTCACCCAGACTTCTAGCCTATCAAGTCATCTCATGAAAAGGAAATAAACTGATAACCCTTAATGTGAGTCAGTTTAATGTGTTAATTGTTCAAATTTACATTTATGGGCTTCTGTTTTAAAATATCACCATATTTGAACTTTAGAGCATCCCTTGGAAGTGTATATTATAACCTACTTCTTATAGATGAGAAAACTGACACTTAGAAAATTAAAATGTCTTTCCTATTACTGAGTAGAATTAATACTGATTCCACAACACTCACTTCCTTTTTTAATGCTCCTGCAATGCTCTCACATGACACTTTGTGAAGACTATGACTTTCTTAATTAATGGAGTTCAAAATGCATAAGTATTCATCTTCAACAGTAGGCTAAACCATGTGACATCTGTAGAAAAGATATACTGATAAGTATGAGGTAAATGGCCTTTATATCATATGGTATAGTTAATCCCTACCCTGATGTGTAATATGGTGTTGAGGGAGGGGGAAAAAGAAAAACTCCCAACTTTTGCTTTGTTCTTTTCCAAGACTTGTGGCTACCATCATTTTGAGTCAGCAGAACACTCACAAATGGGTGGGATCACTGTTTGTTAGAAGGTTATGTATATTAGAATGATTCTCCTTCTGGAATTTTATTCTGCCTCTTTTTATTTTTTCACGTGACCAAAGAATTAATTTGGCTTTGGGCCTGTGCTCATGGGTTAGAACTAAACATCTTGCTCTCCTTCCTCTTTTCACACACACACACACACCCTTGGTTAATTTTAGCTTCCCTCTTTAGTCTATGTGACTTGCAGGAAAGAGATAAGATCTTTGGATTTGGGGTTGGCTTTAGCGAGAAAACAAAGCCCCTTCAGCCTTCAACTAGGCCATGTATTCCAGCTGAACTTACAGAGAAATCTGCACTTAAGTTTCAGGCATAAATTCAACCAATAATAATAAATTGGTATGTTTATTTCCCATTCATCATTGTCTCCTATATATATATATATATATCTTTTGAATACACTGTAGGAAAGCTTAAACCAAGGCAGAATTAGGGAATTTCTGTGACCTTGGCCATGATATAATATAGTTGCACTGAAATTGGATTTGTAACCTATCAGGCTGGCCTTAATATTAGGACTGATTTTCTAAGACACTCTTTATCATTGAACATATGAACCAATTATGATTCAAGAAAATGTACTTTTCAGAATCTCAACCTAAGTTATATATAAAGTAGAGAATAGTGAATTACAGCTGAGAGACAACAGTTAAATAACTCCACAGAGACATTTACATTGAGAAAGATGAATAAGTTTGTGCTTAGCAAACACAAAGATTCTCCTGCCTCAAGGATATATATTCCATATAAGTCAGTGAAAGTTTATTAAAAACACATAGATTTTTGTTTTCCTAATCAGTGATATAAAAAAAAACAACATTCACAAAGATTAAGAGTTGATAGGTTGATTGGGTAGATACATTCAGAGAAAAAAATTCAATGCATTATTTTTTCTAAATTCCTGACTGTCCTTTTATCTTTCCTGGTAATTTTAAAGAGCTACTAATAGTTTCACACATTTTCAGAAAACCAGCCATTATAAAATAAAACATTAATTCTATTTGTGCTAGCTTAGTTCTGCTAGCACAAGTTTCTCCTAGACATCTTTCATTTGAGAAGACAATTCCTCAGAAAAGCACACATGCACACTTTTATATGTGTAGAGCCATCCTCTTTCTATGATCCTTGTAATTAAAATGTGACTGTGGCACAAGTGTACTTGTCTCAATAAGACATTGAGCCCAGTGACCAGAAATACAGTCCGTATACAACTAATAGGGAGAAGGTGATCAGCTCATTGCAAAAATAAGACTCTAAAAATCCCCAACTTCTAGCAAAATATCCCTTGTCCTTTCTTCACTGACTCAACTTTCATGCATTAATTGAAACTCATTCAATACTCATGAAGTAACTTCCTATACTTCCTCCCACCAAAAAATAAACCTTCCATACTTCCTGAGATGATTTTCCAACCATTTAACTTCATCTTGCACTTTTCCCTCTGGAAAATCTTTTGGAACTTAATTTCAGTTTTTGCATTTTCACTCCTTATGTCCCAGCCAAGAAAGTTGCCCATTTCCCTTGATCAATCTTTATTAGCAAGATGGAAAGAACTTGTATCAAAAAATAAATTTAAAAAAAAAAGCGTAATGCAGTAATCATTCCAGGGGACTTGATAACACAACTGCAGAGCAGATGTTGTATCTATCTGGGCTTGGCAAGAGACAAAAAAAGACATCATTGGTAACAATCAGTGGTTCAACAGCTCAGAAGGAATTTGTAGAAGTGAACTCTACAGAGAGTGATCCAGTGTAGTAGAAAGATGTACTAGGAGCCCTATATGTGCCTATAGGACTCTGAAAAGTTTAAGAGTAAATCCCTAAACAGACTACAAATTAAGATATCAAGAGGAAAGTGTTAGGTCTGGGATATATGAGTTCCTTTGGAACCTCAACATAACTGTGTGAAAAGGTCAAAGGAAGATGTTTGTAAAAATGGGAAATTTTACTTATTTTCCTTGGAAAACATTTAGAAATATACTTAACAATTTCTAGTTGAGACCTATTAAAATGAAGCTGTAAAGAAACTTTTCCAAGGGATACAGAATAAAACGAATAAACATAGAGATACTTTATACAAGGACAGGATGTCTCAATTTTGTAGCAATACCAATTGTCCTTATTTCATCTTTAAATCCAAATCAATTCCACTCAAATATCCATTGCTAGATAATATGATAAATATTCTCAAATTTCAAATAAAATACTAATCATGAATCCCCCAACCCCCCTTTATATACCTATATAGAGGAATATATTTCTGTATGTGTGTCTTTGTGTGTATTCAATTTCTTTAAAATTTTTGAGATAAGCTAAGTCAGGACTTTCACCCCCCTACTACATTTATAAACACTGAATATAGCAGAGATTACATAAAATTTTATTATCACACTGCAGGTACATGGCAGATAATCCACTCTCTTACCCCTTTCCTAGAGCTCACTTCAATTTTCACTCCATGGGTATGTCCAGTGCCACTGTCCCTGCTGCTTCCTGCTATGACTAAGGCACTAGCATTGCCCCAACAATGGTGAAAACTATTTCCCATACCTTGTCACACACACCCCTGGACACCATGACCCTCTCCCTGTGCAGTGACATAGAAGTCAATTCTGTGGATAACCTCATACATCAACCAGCACTATTGCCTCTCCCTCACTTACCACACTGCCTGGGGCCATCCAAAGGAAAAATTTGCAAGGAAAGAGGCCCCTTTTTATGTCATGAAGTTACTCTGTGACCTAGAAAATTACTAAGAGTAAATTACTTTCTTACTTTGGGCCCCAGACTACTCATCTGTAAAATAAGGAGATTGGTGCCTTCTCCTATATTGGTCTATGTCTTCATTTAAATGGGATAAAGACAAGGCTATTTTGTATAGTATTATGTATAGTAGAAAGATAAACAGTCAAGTGTAATAATTATTTGGTAGTAATTGATCTTCTTAGGTCACTAAACTGCTCCTAAAATCTCTGTTGCTATTAGTCTTTCCACTACTAAATTGACCATGCTCATGGATCTCAACCTAAGAAAATATCAGATCAAATTCCTCTCTTCCTCAAAACTTCACAATTTACAACCAACAAAAGTAAGCATTTAGGGATGGCCATAAGGTCCTCCATGAACTGTCCTCAAATCTCTCTCTCCTCACATCTGCCTCTCCAGCCATCTCATTCTACTCAGAGTTCCTAAATATGCAAAACATATTTATACCACATGTTC